TTTCACTGGTGATCAGCATGACAAGATATGGCACATTAAAGCTCATCATATGGGTTTGTTTTGGTTGTGCACTAGGATTAGAATGGAAACATTTGCATTGCTGGTAATTACTCCAAGTAGATTTTGATAAAGTATTTGTTATATATGTGAATAATGATGAAGCACTAGGTAACCGTCTCTAACAGTGGGTTCCATTTTCTTACTCCCCACTGTTTTTGGCGTGCTGCATTATTGATAAGGGGCTGACATTTTACACTTTTCTTAAGGCAAAGCCAGAGTCCCTCTACAGTCACCTGCAGCACTGTCTCCACAATAACCAAGCTGACAATCTAATATCACAACAGGGACTCTGCAGGATTCATATTACATTTATTAGCAGGTTTGTGGTGACAGCATTGGTTTGTGCCTTCTATTGGACTAGTTTGGCATTTTTATTTAATAATAACATGGAATTTTCATTACATAAAATCAAAACACATTCAAGACAACTGGTGTTCCTGCAATTGTTCAGAAAATCAACTTTTATATGTATTCTGTAAAAATCTCCTTTTAATCTTTCTGGGGGAAAAAATGAGAAAATGCCTGTCTTCCTGCTGCTTGGAAGCAGCAGGGCGTGGCTGCTCAGCTCAGGTTAGTCCCTGTTTTCCTACATCAGTCATCCTTAAACTTAAAACCACCTGCCCAGTGTGGTGCAAGTCCACCTTGTGCTGCTAAAACAGCTGCAACTGATTGAGACATGGGCATGTGTGAAAAAGCACCAGGACATTAGAAGTGGATCATTTGTCTCCTGCTGGTTTCAGAGTGGAGTCTCAGAGAAGCAGGCTCGTTCTGGGCATCCTGTAAATGCTTTATTGTACTGGGATCTGGCAGTTTGGAGGCCGGGTCAAAACCTTGGGCTCTCTGTCGCATTCCTAGAATCGTTCCTGAACTGTTTTTGTGATGTGGTGGGGTGCAAGTGTTCCAATGGGGGAGGCTGTTGCCATCTGAAACATGCCTTGTTTTTCAACATTTAGGTGGATACATATCAAAAATAACATCCACATAAATGCCAGAAACCAAGATTTCCCAGGAGAGCGCAGCATTGTAGTTGGATGATGAGTGTCATAGGCTTCAGCTGTAGTAGTGGTTTTAATGTTGTGTTGCAGTACACAATGGCTAAACTGATGAGTGCATAAAGGCTAAAGCATGTTCACCAGTCTTTAATATAATCCACTCCAAAAGTAAGAGTTCATTCAGAATATTCAACAGCGACATCGTCAACAGGGGTGCAGAAATTTTAGCACTCTTAAAAACTTTTGAGAATAAATTTGCAGGCCACCGTGAACATTAAACACTTGCAATAAGTCCCTGACATAATATTTGCCCACCACAGACGTACAAGAGCGCATTTGTTTTTGTTTTCTCTCACCGTCTTTTTCGAAGCAGAAGATTAGGCACACATTTACACACGTCTTCATGCTGCAGGTTTCTGTACACAGATAAGAGCTCGTCATACACTTACTGTATCATTTGACATGGATCATTACACTGTTGCAACCCACAATGATGCACAGCGTGCGCCTTCCACAAACTAACTCGTGCTCCTAGCCAGTGTGTGCCCTCTCGTGCATGATACTCTCGCTATTCCGCCAAAACAACACACATAAAGGAAACACAACCTACCTCGGCTCGCAGTGACAGCTCCGTACGTCGACTCGTTGCAGGAGATGGCAACAATGTGATGCTCGCAGTAAAGATCGCGGCTCGTAAGCGCAGAAGTTTTGACAAGTCAGTGAGTCACGGAGCACACAAAGAGTGCCAGTCCCTTACTGATCTGTGTAAAACAAGCCACCGTACAGGGTGTATGACAACGCCCCGAAACAAAAGTGATCCGGTTGATCCTCCGGTGGATCATTACGATTATTATTAAGGATGTTTCTCTCCAAATTGGCTACGCGCACCGGTGCGCTGCGTTTACCTCCCAAAGTGATCCCCAAAGCAAACGTCCCCTAAGGACACGTGATCAACATACGGGGGACGGGAATAGCTCTCAATTCCCCACACAGTAGCAGCTGGGATCGGTTACACCGCTGCTTTAGAGCCCGTTCAAAAACCCCGAGCTGTGCGCACCCATACTCCTCCTCCTACCATTTTCCCATCCCCTGTGACCTCACGGTGTCGCTGTCATTTGTCTTCACCTTAGCAATTTGGATCGGTTAATATAATACACCTGTAGCCTTGGCCCGCTGCTTATAAAGACATTAAATTGCACTTATAATTATATGGAAGTTTTCTTTCAGATGTTAACTCACGAATGACTGTAGATAAATTATATTTATTTAGATGACAATATTTCAATGTTGTTTAATAAAAATGAACAAATTAGAATCATATATGTAGGCTGTACCATTAATCAATGTAAAATAATACTAATAATAACAATTTTGGGTTATTCCACAACCCAGATTGTTTTCTCACAGGCATATAAATAATTTGTAATCTAAGCCAGTAATGATGTCACTACTCCCAGGCACCAATCAAAGTTTAACAGCTGTTACGACCAAGTGTAAGAGATGCTAGACTCATCATTAGCGTTAATTGGTTTGAGAGCCGGCGATAACAGCCATATTTTACATTACCACATTATTTTTATACCACACCATTCATCGACCGCTGATGTCTTATTGGGGCACTGCCATCCTCGTGGGCGCCACAGCCATCATTTGTCGTGATTTATATGCATATTTTTTCAATCTTAGGGGTCACGTGGACCCAGCAAACGCTCTACAACACACCAGAGCCAACGATTCCTCTCGCTGTAAAGGTCGAGTGGTTATTTGTTGTCACCAGTTTGTAGATTGTATTTTTTTTTTGTTCTGAAGTCTATTTTTTGTTTAATTTAAATAAAATGTTTCATTTATAAGTCTCATTCTTTAATAACACTGATTTTCAGAAGTTTTTTATTGCAAATTAATTCTCAGCTTTTGGTCCTTAAACTGTAATAACTGTAAGAATTATTGAATTTTTATAGTCGTAGCCTTAAGATAGTTTTTTTTTTTTTAGCTGAATAAACATTTAGAAAGCTAGAAAATGTGCCAGCGTTAAAATGTTTACGTTATGAGCCTGAAGTTGAAAGGAGCTTCCAATTCTGTAGGTGAGCTAATGTGGGCGTTTAAAGAGAACCAAGGTTTTATTTTGCTGAATTACTGCCTTCAAACAGCTCTTAAATGCAAATGGGATACAGACTGAATGGCGGAAGAACTGCACTGCCGTACAAGTTGCCATGTTAATTAGTTCCTCTGTGAAAAGCTCAGTATTCAATAGAGACAAGAAGGACAACTTCATCCCAAGGAGAAAACTGATAGGTAGTCTTTGTTTCTCTGTACTCTCCAACCGCAAAAAGCAAAACCGGCACTGGCCCTCAGCCTGCTGGAGTACATGTGCTGTGTGCTTGTAAGACATGTTTTAAAAGCAAAGGGGTGCACAGGACCCCTCACACCTTACACATATGCTTATGGATTAGGTTGATAAACTGTAACTCCAGGGCTCATTGGACTGAATATCAAAGCTCGCAGGTGGATATTTGAGCTGGCATGCAGGGCCTGTAAGACTGTTTGTTCTCTTGTGAACATGCTATTACTGTACAGACAGGTTCCAGCTGAAAGTATGAGATGTATTAGTACACTGTGATAGACTTTAACATAGCTGTTACACACATTTAAAATAGATTTCATTTTTCAAGAAATAAAATTTTCATTGCCTTTCAGTGTCACCCAGTCTGCAAAGTGACACGTTTTCCACATGAGTAAACCTGTCAAAGAAGCATGTTTAACAGTTTAACCTTCTCGAAATGAGGAATAGCTCATTTCAAAGTGAAATGTGGCAGACTTTCACATTTCACTTTGGTCTGTTATGATGAATGTTATCTGGCTCAAACAAATAAATTTGCTATTTTCCTGTTCTAACACCCCACAGCCCCAAACACAGTCTTATTAGAAATTAGACTTTACACTGCAGTATTTGGCTCCTTTTGTATTGTCACTAAAGGCAGGATTTAAAAGTGAAGAATGTCTGTCAATTTCTTCTCTTGCAAGGACTCATCTACTGTGTTAACAGCTTCATCCTACATAAAAAGCAAACTTACAATGACCCAAATCCTCCATTGATATGTTCAAAGCCACCATGTCTTTTGTGATACTAACAATGGGTGCACTGGAACTTATAAACCTACACCTGTGAGCACACAAAACAGATTTTAAAAGCCACCTTGTGGGGTTTGTGGTCATGGTTAGTATTGTTAGTATTATCTTTTTATAAGTGGACGTCGTTTTTGTCTGAAATGTGCATGAAGATCAGAGGCAGACTGTGTGACACTACCATCACTGGTCAGAGGAACACAGAACCAACACTGAATGCAGACATCATCTTTGTTTAATGCCCACGGATAAAATACACATGGCACATTTAGGCAGGGAAGCTTTGCTAAGTATGTCTGTGTGTAAGTACAGTATGTGAGAAAAGACCAACCAGTGCATTGTTTATGGAGAGCAGTACTAGGAATGCGAAAAATCTCAGCTGAAGTAAATAAAAAAAATAACTAAATGAAGCTTACTTTTCTTCCATCCATCCATCCATCCACCCACCCATCCATCCATCCATCTATCCATTTTCATTCACTGTTGTTATGTTTCCAGGTTTAGTATTTACTGCTTGCTGTGCTTTTGTTTATGTTCGTTAAACTTTTTTGGGTATGTTTCCAATATAATTTCTTAAAACCCAAGCAAATAACAAGGTCAACAAATTAGCGTTAGCAATAAGAGCTACATTAACTGAAACGGTCTGCTTTTATTTGATAAACACTGACATTTTCTTGATCATTTGCCTCAGGAGTTAGAAAGAAATAATAAAATATACAACAAAAAAGGTAGAGAGATTCATTGGTGAATCGGGGCCATCGTTAGAGCTTCACAGATTGAAATGAAAAAGAAAAATTCTGTCAATACAACATCAGACCTCAGCAATTGTAAACTGTGGAGGTCAATAAAAGTATTTAATAACACACTCAGCTGAAGAATTTTGCATTATCTCTAAAAAAAATTCTCCTCCCTTACAAAGAGATTAACCCAAAACATATTGTTAATCATTACAGGGATTATGAATAGTTAACTGAAAAGGGATAACCGAGGCTGGGGAAAAGTAATAATTAATGAGGCTGGGTACAGATGGGACGGTATGGGATACTTAATTATGTTTTGGCACTAAAAAATGACCCACTTTTAAATTTTTCTGGACATGAGTTTTCTACACATGAGTATAGCAAGTAAGATTTCCATGTTTAAATGTTCCATAAAAATAGACAACGTTTCCATCAAAATTTGAAACCCTTCTGACATCACGTCAAAGGCATCTTTGTGTTGCAGGGATATCTATTGACGTGAGCATACTAACAGGATAACCTTGGCTCTGTCCTGTCTTGTTATACCGTCATATCTCAAGAGGTGATAGTGAGTCATTGCAGGTGTCTAGTTTGCATTGTGTCAAATGTGAGAGGAGTAAGTAGTGCCTTGCAAGTAAAGATGGTGCTTTAGTACAAGTGTCATACAGACAATCAAGGGTTAGATGTATTTAATCTGCAGAACAGGGATCATTCAACATCCACCCTGCATGGTGATCTATTAAGAGGATACATATTCACCAATCATGTAGAAGCCGATAGACCTGTGAGTACCAGATATACAGGTTTCTACATGATGCTGATGGAAAGGACATCACAAGCCATGTACAAGGAAGTGGAAGCACAATTGATAATATGGCTAGAGGTCTAGGCTTAAAGATAAAATAAACAAATCCGAATCATTCAGTGCTATCTTTGCGTCTTTGATGTTTCTTTCTTGGATTATAAATTGAACTACATGAAACTCCAGTGGTGAGATTTCATCAAGGCTGCACCTTTGTTGTCACAAAATAGTGATTGATTTTCTATATTGTATATTCATATTTTTATGTATTGCACCTTTAAAATCAACCATAAGAAATCAAATCACATGAAAGTCTCTACTCAAAGACAGCTTTTGTTAGTTACAAAGAGTATTACAAGAAAAATAATTATGTTTCTATGATTTTTTTTTTAAATGTGGGAAGTTGTAATTAATAGCTTGAAGTTTTTTTTTAAATACTAGCTGAAAATAAAACAAAATGAACTACATTATTTATAATTTCTAATCAGTATTGCATGCCCCGAGAAGAAAGTAACAAGAACTTCCAAGGACTGCATAATGCTTATACATTATGTAACTATGCCAGTGACTAAATCTTTGCTCTGCAGTAGTGCATGTAGTTAAAGTTTAAAAAACATTTCTTTCGTCGAGGAGCTCTGAGGATTTGGCTGTTTTGGTGTGTGACTGTGTGGGGTTTTAAGGATCCATATAAATGTAAGTAGCTGCCAGCTGCTGTCTTTCAGCTCACTGACCTCTTGGTTCTCTCACACTGCGGCGCAGCCACAAATAAAATCCTGCAATCATAGTGGATTATGAGGGTCTAAACAGCAAGACGTCAGCTTGCAGGTAGTTGCAGGCGGAGCTTTCACTCTGCAAGGTCTGCTTGAGCTGTCATGATGTCTCAGCTGTGCTACTCTGTAGAGTCGCAGAAGAAAAATGAAAAGAAAATGAAAATGACAAATGCTTTGGTCATCAGTGCATCTCTAACTGTCTGATAAAAATCTGATAAAATGTGTATAAATACATTATTCAAATAAGAAATTCACCATGCTTAAAAATTAATGAAAAATAATACATATTTACATATAAGGTATTATAGTAATGTGATAACACTTGAAATAACTGTGCTTGGATATGCAGTGGGAAACCAGAGATTATGAAAAAAGAAACCATGGATAAAGTTTCAAAGGATGTCTTTGTTTATGGTTAAAAAACCCTTTAAAGAGCCCATAAAAACCACAGATTGCCAGGAAGCCAGTATTTTATATTTATACATTTTCATTTAAAATCTTGATAGTGTCAGGTGTCGCTGTGTGCAGGCACGAATAGGACCCAAAGTGCAGACTCACAGCAGGCAAAAATGTACTTCAAACTCAGCTTTTATTACTGGATGGC